GTGGAAAGGATTATTGATAGTGTTTGCATATGTATGTCTTTTATGTATATGAAATGATATATGGTTATATTATATGTTTTATATGCCTCACTAAGTCTATGACTTAGCGTGTAAGTGATTTACACGTAGGTACCAAGAAACGAGAAGTGAAAGAATAGAAGTGGCAAAGACAGTATCACTACTAAAAGATCAGATCAGAAGTATTTGACAAAGTATGTATTTGGTTATGTATAAAGTGTTGGCATGTAATAAGTCATTAAGTACGAGCACTCTGATCAAGTCTGTATTTTGTTTTAAATAAAGTTTTAAATTTCCCGGGATTTTTCTTAAGAGTCAAGATTTGAAAAGTCAATGTGACACGTCGGACTCGTATCCGGGTCGGGTACGGGTTGGGGTGTTACATGTACCATAAAGAAACCCTGAGAAGAACTGACAAGGGCTCTAATGGAAGCGAAAGATGGCAACATTGTTAAGGAGGGAATAGAGGATTCACTTGAGACATTCAATGAGCTTGTGAAGGAGATGACGTCAAAGCAACAAGATATAAAGGACTTTGCTTTTAAGACTAAGACCATGGTAATTTACTCTTGCTCAGTTTATTCTTGTCTTTATATACCTGCATGTCCATTTCTGTTTTTTCAGTTATTAGTATCACTTTATGTAACTTACTTCATTGATAACGGGATAAATGTCTCTTTTCTGTGAAACTGTGGCTCAATACTTCCAGCTAAATGTTTTTAGAGAACAGTGTACTAGTGTGTATAAGGCTGTAAAAGTGTATTAACTCAAACAATGTAAGTAGTAAGTTGAATTTATATTGTCATTATACATTTTGTTTTTTATTTTTAATTGATGTGAACCAAAGCTAGGCTTAATTAATAATTCACTCTCTACCGTAGTAAAAAGAATATATGAGGAATTTTTAAGGTTTTTAATCACTTACTACATGGCTGTCTTATGTGACTTTTTTGGGTAAAAATGAATATTTTTAATTATAACATAGCAATGTTGGCAATTACATCAGTATCGAGCTGGACAAAGATGGTGCATTGCACTTGTTTTTGACTTCAGATTTTATAGGACATTTATCTGATCTATGTCTTTATTGTGGTTGTTTGTCCAAACATAAATATGCATGCCTTTTGTCATTGAAGACTTTAAATAACATTTTGGGTTTCCAACATATATTATCTCTCATTCAATGAATCTTTTTTTTTTTGGTTATCCGGCAAAACAATTCCTGCAACTTGGGTTAGCCATTTCACATTTGAATTTTGATATAGTATAAAAGATGCCAAAGCATATTTTCTATGAATTTATCGTGAATATAACTATTTAGGATGGCCGTGTGAGGACCACCACTTTTGAACCTTAAAACATACCAAATTTGGTTTTACTGAATGATCATGTTGATGATGCATTTTATCCACTAGTAGCCAATGCATTTTGTTTTTACTCTTGTTTTTTCTAAGAGCTATTAATAGTTCATGCGGATCAGTTTCAATTGTGTGTTTTTATTTTTGGGAAAAGTTGTTCAAGATATGAACTAGTTTACAAAAAGATAGATATAGATTAAATCTGAGCTTGAAAGACCTTTCTCTAATAGTTTGTAAGCAGTACCTGATTGTTTGGATATGTATAACCATTTCCTCCTATCTCTAATATATGGGGTTCTACTACAGCACATGCAATTACATTAGGTGCTTAGAAACAAAGGCGTTGTATATACCGTGCACATGGAAGAATCAACCGAAGTATTAAAACCATGCACCTAATGTCGTATGGAGACTGTTCTGTCTATGTCTCGTGTTGATTTTGTTTCACGCAATATTTCATTTTTCATGTGTTCTTATTCTAGAACCATTTAGTGCTTGTTCTCATATATATTCATTCATATTTATATTCTTTTGTGTCTGATTATTTTAGGTGTTGTTGAAGAAGCAATTGCATTTTTTGGTGAAGCATCTACTCTTTGTGCAAGGTACACAAAATCTTACTGGATTTGGATGACTTTACCCTCTTCTTTACCAAGTTATGTTTGCTCTCAAGATTCTAATTTTACATTATTTAATATCAGGTGGCATTTCAAGCTTTGAAATTTACTCCACCAATCCTTGAACTTGGTAAGAGCTAGTTTCAAGTTATGCAATGCTATGTGCTCCACTTGATACCCTATCATATACTGAACAATCTTCTCTCGTATACTTCAGGATGCTTAAAGCTTTGGTGGCTCTAAAGAGTGCAAAGATATTCTTTAAAGTTATGAAAGTTTAGTTTGTTAGCTTTGAACTTAATATTCTTTAAATATATCATGTACGATAAATGATGATAAATTGTTTTCTTTAATAAATTACTTACCTTCATATTCTCTAGTTTTGAAAAGAATGTTGCTTGATAGAACTAGGCTTCTGGTTATTGCAAAAAAACAGCTGACGTTACCAGCTCTTTAAATAATGTCATCAGACCCAATGTTTAAACTCATTAGTAAAATAATATTATATTAGCATTAATAGAAGTTTAAGGATTAAGATAGTGATGATAAACAATTTACAGGTTCAACGAAGAGCAACCCAATCAAATTTGCCTATACTAACCTTTTACAAATAGCGGCGTTAATATATAGCGGCATTTTGTATTACAAATGCCACTAAAAACAATAGAATTAGCGGCGTTTGTGGACAAAAACGACACTAAAGACAAGAGAATTGGTGTTGTTTGTGGACAAAAACGCCACTATAAATCATAACATATAGTGGTGTTTGAAAGAACAAACACCACTATATAACTCAACCTTTTGCGGCGTTTTAGATTCACAAACACCACTAACTTTTGTGTCATTCATTTTAACGGTGCTTCTTGCGACGCTCTTACTAGCATCGGTAGTGTTTTTAGCGACGCTTAAAAACGACGTTATAAGACTAAAAACGTCACTAAAAACCTGTTTTGATGTATTGTATCTACTTTTAGAGGATTTTTATTTCTTTGAAATATGAGTTGAAATGGATTAGTCAAAGGGTGTCAACATAAATTATGTTATAAAACGATAATGTTAATAATTATTTTATAATTTTTTTAATTGATGATAAAAATGGAAATTTAATCAAATTTCATGTAGTTGACCTGGAAACAAAATAATAAACTTTTGGGAGACAAATGATTAACTCGAAAGGCCCATGAAACCCAAAACAATAACTTGAGAAGAAGCCACGTGCTCTCTGCCCTCTCAAAATCCAATAAGCTGCCTGTTAATACTACATTAAAATATTCTAAGCGTTTAAGTTTTGTTTACATATATATTTGATTTATACCTTGTTATATATGACTCTTACTTGAAATTATTTTATAGTATAAGATAAGATTTTTTTTAACCATCATTTTCATTGAATTAACAACAGTTTAACAAAATATTGCTAAATATCCCATTCAGTTCGAAATTATTATGATTAAATTTGTTAATATATAAATTTAAAAAGTTACATTATATATTTATTTATGATTAAATTGACTAAACTTTATAAAATCATTAGCCACCAACTGTTCTATGCAAATCGAAATGAAATGATGAGAAATGACTAAATTAAAATTGAATTTATTTAAATATATTCTCATTTAATACCGTTAATCTCAATTTTCTATTTTCACTCATTAAACGGTCTTAAATTTATATAAAACTAAAAAAATTACACTATGTAATTGAATCCTCTCTCTCACACACACACGTAATCTTATTACACAATGTAAAATTCTTTTAGTTTTAGATGTTAAATGAGTAAAAAAGAATCTTGAGATTAATAGTAGAAAATGAGATTCATAAAAAAAAATTAATCTCAGACATCTACTTTCACTCATTCAACGATTATAAATCTATATAAAATAAAATAATATTTTACTTATATAACTGAATCCTCACTCATATATATATATATATATATATATATATATATATATATATATATATATATATATATTGAAGGGAAAGTAAGTGAATGACCATACGTTTCATTGAAAGAATAGTTAGGTTACGTACGTAAATGGCGCGAAAGAGCTTCGAAGGGTGAAAAGTTGATAATAATATATAAAGCAAAAATAGATGTGTTTTTCTTTTCCTCCTACTCCAAGCCATTCCTAAACTTAATTTAGTTGTTGTTTTTGGGGTTGATTTTGTTAATCGGGTTTTCTAAATTAGAGTCCGAAATTGCAGGGAAATTAATAAAATTGTAGAAAATTCCAAACATTTTAACGCTTAGCAAAGGTTATTTTAGATGACAGAGACTTTAAAGATATCCATTATTGTTATTGAAATGCGTGATGTTTCACAGATCTCAAGAGACGCATTGCCCAATCATCTCTTGTTTCTGTGTTTCACCTCTCAATCGGCGCCGCAATTGACGTTTCCCTCTTGCTTAGTGGCCACATGCCTTTAATTATTACAACCTTAACCCACGGTTTTGCTTTTTGTTTTTAGTGTTTGTCTTCATAATTATATTTTTTAATGTTTTCTATACAAATAAAACTAAAATTTAATTGAACTTGTTTCAATGACAAAGTGACGTCTTGAATTCTTTAATATTATTGTCCATAGTTTCATTAAAGATGGATGACTAATTTTGTTATTCAAAGGATAAATAATGAAAATTTATTGATTATTGTGTTGGGGGGGGGGGAACAAGAGATAGGACCAAATTTTACATTAAATTCCAAAAGGTCATGAACAAAAAAGTCCACCACTCATTTAAATCGCAGTCAATTAAGTCTAAAACGTGTAGGGACAGCCTTTTGAAAACCGACACCTGCCGGTTAATCCCTTCGAAGTAAGTGGCGAAACTCCCATCCCCATCGAATCATGGCATCTTCGAAGTTGACGAGAAAGAGGGTGATAAATTAATTAAGTAAAAATTATGAAAAATCTAATGGTTTTTTGAGAGAGAAAGCACATGGGGGGCAGAGTCCAGAGTTTTATATAAGAAGATATAAGGTGACCCTCCAATTGCAAGAGAGAAAACACCAAAGCGAGGCCACCAAGAAAAACAAAATTTGAGAGAATTTTTCGACAGTGTTCAATCATTTAAGTTTTCTCCATAATTCCCCCCTTTGATCTGCAATTCCCCGCTTCTCTGAATCCCTTTCTGTTATCGTCTGTCTTTCAAGCTCAACAAATTAGTGTAAAAAACAAAGCCTACACCAGGTTGGTTTTTGAAAGCCAGGTGATCCAGAATAGAGATCCAGGTTTCTGTTTTTTTTAAAATCAATTAGTACACGGTTTTAATCTTTATCTTCATCAGCTAAGAGGGTTTGTTTTTGTTCCCTCAAGGTTGTGTTTTTTTTCCTTCTATCAAACTATTGCCTGTTTTAGTTTTTGAATATGGCAGCAGCTATAGATATGTATAATAGAAGCAGCAACTCGGTCTTTTCAGATCCTTCTAGAGAAGAGTTAATGAAAGCACTTGAACCTTTTATGAAAAGTGTTTCATCTACTACTCCTTTATCTTCTTCTTTTTCCTCTTCTTTTTCATATTCTCAACTTCCTTCACAGCCTAGCAAGGGTCATGGGTTCTTTAACCATAACAATCTGGTGAGTTTCGAGCAAACAGGTTCAATCGGGCTTAACCAACTAAACCCTACCCAAATCCTTCAAATTCAAGCTCAAATTTATCAACAGCAGCTTGATTCTATGGTTCCAGCAACACCTGTTCAAAACAAGAGGCTCAACTTTCTTTCCCCGAAAGCTGTCCTTATGAAACTTGTCTCCTCAACTCCTCCAAAGCCTGCAAAACTCTACAGGGGAGTGAGGCAGAGGCACTGGGGGAAATGGGTTGCTGAAACCAGACTCCCAAAGAACCGAACCCGACTTTGGCTCGGTACTTTCAATACAGCGGAAGAAGCAGCTTTGGCTTATGACAAGGCTGCTTACATGCTCCGAGGAGAATTCGCCAGGCTCAACTTCCCCCACCTCAAGCACCAAGGATCTCATGTTTCCGGGGAATATGGTGGCTTCAAGCCTCTCCATTCCTCGGTTGATGCAAAGCTACAAGCCATCTGTGAGAGCTTGGGGAAGACCTCTCCCGTTTCCGATACAAAACCCAAGGTGAAGAGCGAGGAGATCGATCAGTCTCCAAGATTATCCGACCCTAAAGTGGAGAATTCACTGTCAACACCAGATTTATCCGATGAATCATTGGCAGGGTCTTCTTCGCCAGAATCCGATATCACTTTCTTGGATTTCTCTGATTCAAAGTGGGAAGACAATGAAAACTTCAGTTTGGAGAAGTTCCCTTCAGTGGAAATCGATTGGGAAGCCATCAGGGAACTTTCTTGAGTCTTGAAAACAAAATTACAACTACTATCATGTAATCTTTTTCCAGTGTCATTACTACTATTATCACTTGTAGCCTCTACAGTGAAATTTTTGACATTTGTAGAGCTGCTAAAGAGTTTTAATTAGGTGTCATGAGTTTAGAATCTATGTCATGTCAATATGTTGTAACAGAGATATCTGCCTTTGTAGACTGGTCCTGCTGATACTTTTTATCCTAGCAACGGCCATTGGAGTCCTTTGAAGTTAATGTTTTATTAAAGGTCCAGTGTAAAGTTTAGAAAAATATTATCAGATGACTATTTATAATATATTTTATCTTTAATTATGTATATGGTTTGCATGTGTTGGTGATTGATTCTCCTCCTCCACATGTTTTTGCCCTAATCTGTCCATTGAGATATCACTCTTCGTATCGTAAATAGTGATTAGCAAACAAAGATTCCTTGTAAACATTAACCTCAGAAGTTGCCGAAGCAATTGTACATTAATAAGTCTTTTTGCAGAAATTGTACATTTCTTTTTCATGACATAAAGGAAGATAATGAAGAAATTCATTATGTATTATTATACAAACCTTGACATGAAATCATATGTTCATGTTTAACTCAAAAAATCATTTTTCTCAATTTTAAGTTATTCAAGTCAACTTGAATTATTGAGTTGATTATCGAGCTTAAGCTAATTTGAATTTTGAATTTTTTTTATTCATATGAAAACCAAAAAATTTAACTTATTATTTTGAGAGTTTTGTGATTTGGACCATAATTTCTTTATTTCTTTAATTCATCCTTTATTCTAAGTCCATTTTTGCTCAAGGTGGATCTCGCTCTCATAGCCTCTTGGTTACTCCATATACATGTCATTGTCAAGTTTACCATGTAAGAAAATATTATTGACATCTATTTGCCACAACTTGCAGATTTGCTAGCAGCCAAAGCTAGTAAGACTCGAATTGTTATAATCATTACCACTGAGCTAAATATTTCTTCATAATCTAGTTCATATTGTTGAGGAAAATCTCGTACAATAAGTCGAGCTTTATACCTTTCAATAGAGCCATCTGGTTGGGTCTTCACCTTGTAAACTTATTTACAAGATATTAGTTTCACATCTTTTGGTTTTGGAACTAAATCTCATGTCTGATTTTTTTAGTGCATTAACTTCTTCTTCCATAGCTTTCTACCACTCTCGACTTTGTGTTGTCTCTTCATAAGTGGATGGCTTAATGGGTATATATTCATTCACAATAGCAATATTGTTGGCATACCTTGGATTAATTAGTTTGGCTTTGTTGATCTTCGTAGTTATTGTGCATGCTTCTCAACTTTCATTTGTCTTGGACGAAGCTCCTCGGATGAGGTTGATGTACACCAATCTTCCATGAACTCTTGTCCTTGGAGTGTGATATTTCTCTTTCTTCACTTGGATTTAATGTTTCTCTTAATTTTCTTCTTTTTCTTCTTGAACCTTTTCTAAGCCATGAAATTATGGAAACTCGATCTTCTAAGGTGACTACCATGAAGAAGCTTCATCAAATATTATATTTCTTAAAGTGTAACACTTACTGGTGGTTGGATCAAAACAACTTTATCATCGTACATCATCATAGCTGACAAAGATGCATCGAATTACCTTTTTTTTCAAATTTGCTCCTTAGGTGATCTAGCATGAAGACTTAGCATATGCATCCAAATATTTTGAGATGAGTAATAGTTAGCTTGACTTCTATAGCCTCTCATACCATGAACTAAATCCCAAGTTTGTTTGTGAGAGCCTATTAATTACATACACTACAGCAAAACTGTTTTGTAGCGGCGTTTTTAGCGGTGTTTATAGAGTAAACGCCACAAAATGTAAACATATAGCGGTGTTTACAATACAAACGCCACAAAATGATACTTTAGCGGTGTTTGTTTAAAAAATGCCGCTATAGAGTAGTACTTTAGTGGCGTTTTAAGTACAAACGCCGCTAAAACTCGTACTTTCGTGGCATTTTAAGCAAAAAGGCCGCTAAATACTCGTACTTTAAAGGCATTTTTCTACAAACGCCGCTAAATACTCATGTGGCATTTTAAGCACAAACGCCACTAAAATACTACTCTATTGCGACCTTTATATAAAAACGCCACTAAATACGAGTCTTTAGCGGCGTTTGCTTAAAAAACGCCTCTAAAGTACGAGTATTTAGCGGCGTTTTTACTTAAAAATGCCACTAAAGTAGCGTGATACAAAGTTTTTAAAAATTCAAAGAAACACTTCAGCCTCCTCTCAGGCGCGCCACTCTCTCTCTCTGTACTTTTTTATATATATTCTTCGTCCTTTTCTTTCATCGTCTCTCTGTCTCTCTTTAAATTTCAAAGTATATATTCTCTCAGATCTATTTCTTCATCACCATCTCTTCCTATTATTTCCCTCACTGTAAGGTTCCATAATTTCTTCCCAATTTTTTTATCCCTTTGTTGACTTCATATGTTTAGATTTGATTGTAATTTTGAAGTTCACCAACGCGGCAAGTTTACAGTTTCTAACCCTTTTTCATTTTTATTATGGTTACTTACAATTTTGGTGCCTAAATCGGAGACTGAAGAAAATCCCTTTTCACCAAATTTCATTCCTCCCCCTAGCAAAACAAAACAGTGAGAAAATCTCACCATTTTAGGAATCTGATGGACGGATCAAACGTTATGACGTCCATAGTTATCGACCAGTTATACGAGTTCTCGGAGCCATGTTTCTTTGATTTCATGAAAGGAGAATTGGAAGACGAAGCACACAATGTCGAGCACTGGTTCGCAACCTCCTTGAGCTACGCTCCTTTCTGTATGTTCTCTCTTTTTTCTCTCTCTCACTATTTTCTCTATAATAGTATCATTTTGATCCGTTATTCTTGGTATTTTTAGGGTTTTGATTTAGTCATTACTTTACTTTAGATTTTAACCTGATTGAATTTAATTATTTGTTATTGAATTATATTTTGAAAATTATAGGACTCGTGGTTCTCTTAATTGCTTAGATCTGATAGGGAAAAAAAGAATTGTGATGTAATTAAGCTTCACCGAATTAAGATAGTTTTCAGGGATAATGGGATATTAATCTAATCAACAATTTACCTGTTACCAAGTAAAATTGTTGCATTTTTATCAAGGAGAAAATTTGAGATTTTTAATTTCCTTTTGGTATTTTTCATTATGCAGTTTTTTTTAAAGAATTGTGGTTTTTTTCCCAACATTAATCGAGTTATGTATGAATACTTTGGTTCTTATAATTGTGTCTTTGATTCGATTATGTCGGATTTTCAGTGCCTTAACTGAAAAAACATGTTTAAATTTTCCCGACGATGAAGAGAAAAGCAAATGTACTGTGCAAGTAGAAGTTGAAGTTTGCACCCCTAAACCATTGATGATTTCTCAGTAAAAAAAACTAGTGAGTGATAAGAAGCATCAGACGGCTAAAAAGATAGCTAGAATGATATGGAACCCCTCGGTGTTGAAGATGAAAACCGACAATGTTAGAACTCCTAATATGGCTCTAGAAGATGTCACCTGAATGTAGCAATCGTAGGAGTGGAGATGTCACCTTACTGCATGAATTCAGAATCATGCTTATTGATGGTGCAATCGTGTAGTAATTAGTTGTCACCTGAATGTTGTATTCTGCATAAAGTGATGTTAGATAATTTTTTAGTAAATTTAAAAAGTGTCCATCTTATTTTTTTAACCATCTATTCTATTGTTAGCAAGTAAAAATATTATAAATATTAAGCCTCTAAATCATTCTAAAAACACACTCCTCATCCCTCTTGAATTTATTAAGTATTCATGTCGAGAACTTTCATTCCTATACGATAAGAGAGATGAAATATGTTGCTTCCAGAGATGCTATGGTTTTTAGCATGTTATAGGGATACGAAGTCTTGAAAGATGATAGATTTTACAAATCGAAATGTCTAGATTTTGAAAACTTACAAGTTTGCTCTGTATTTTAGTTTCAATTGCTGATCAACTGCCTTATGTAACTAAATCATTTTTCGTTTTGGATTTTGTGAAACTTATTTATTATGATCCTTCTATTGGTTTATATTCTGGTCAGTGGTTTATTAATTCAGATTTCTTCAGTGTTGCCAGAGATTTTTGGTTTTAAACTTGTTATAGGAATAAAAATCTTGAAAGACAATAAATTTTATAAAACCTGAATGTCTAGATTTCAAATGTATTATGTGTCGCTATATGGGTTGTGGTTTATGGTACAAAACAGTTGAGGAACCTTCTTTTCATATATACCTATGTCTTAGGTTCGCTTCAATATCTCATAGTTTTACATATTATGCGGATGAGCCGCATTTCATCTTCTTGGACAACAATTCTAAAATATATATAAATGAGATATAGATGTAATTTAGCTTAATCTTATTCTAACAGGACCTTTGCTTTTATGTTGTGTTACTGTACTATTTTCTGTCATGTAATTTCAGTATTTTGCTTGAGCAGCTACTTGTAATATTTGTTAAGTACTTGCAGCATTCTTTACAATTTTTGCAAGCTCAATGTGTCCGAGATAACTCTTCTTCTTATTTTAGTGCAATAGGGAAGAGCAGAGGATCCTACTCATTAAGAGATTGAGTTAACAATTGTTCCTAGTCCAAATAATGGCACTCATTGGGGACAACAGGTCTGAATTGCTCAAATCCACACACTTACTTCCAACTATAAGTATGCAATTGCTAAAACATTTAGGATCAATTTTGGAATCATGCATTAGAATTTCAGTTCTATAAAGCTTGATCAAGCAATTTTTACTTATCCTTCTTTCCTAATTTATCCATGCATTAATAGTTAGTGCTTTTTTTATATACAAGGCTTTGGTTTGGCAGTGTTCGTAGCATAAAGCATGTTCATGTGTATTTGCTTCTTTATTTTCCTAATGATTTTTTATTGCTTTTTATTGTTGGACATGTTTTTCTCTTTTATCATCCTCTTCATGTTGATGAAGAAAACTAGAAAGCTACTAAATGTACTGAAACTTGTAAAGTTATTGAGATAAACTTTTTTGGTCCTCAAGTATGTGTTATTTCTTTTTTTTATATGAACATGGGTACAATTTTGTCTATTTCCCTTATTTCAAGAATTTTGTCGATTTCCCTTATTTTGTTGTTAAGTATTTTTCTTTTACACATTTTATGATAAAGATGCTATTAACTTATGTGTTCATGACAACAATTGTGGTCTATCAGTTATTCTATAGAATGGTACTTGGACAGAGCTTTAGT